CGTCCAAGGGATGTGGAGGAATCCTCGATTTTCTATATTATTTATCAACACTGGTTTAATTACCATTTTTAAAGAGACTTAGAAATCGTGACTGATTCGCTAAGAGAAGAGAAGGTGTACATTTGAAAAGTATGCGACCGGATTCGCGCAGTGTCTCATTCACGTTTCACCGGGACGTTCTGAGTGTAAAAAATTCACCGGAGATTACTAAAAACTCAAACAATCTCAGGCGACGACTTCAGGATCGTTTCGAGAAGGAAAAATCGGATCTTAGCAAGGAAAAAATGTCGAAGGATAAGCAAGCAGGTGACCGTAGTTGGAATAATCTGACGTTGGGAAATATGTCAGCAGATTCCAGACGTGCTCTACGGACCGGAGCCGAGAAATTATCGAAAACCATATCTTCAGTACGCACTACTTTTGGTACCATTTCTCAGGTTAGAAAAAATTCAACTAAGCTAAGTAGTAAGTAGTAGTACAGGATACTCCATGGGGAAAGTGTGAAAGTACTACACAGTATATTTATTCCTAGAAGTTTTTGTCTTCTTCTGTGATACCTTGTATGAAATTTTGAATTTTACACCTTAATATGTTGTTTTATACTTTGTCATTTAGAAATTCAAAAGTTCTACACGTAGACGTCAAAGACTGGAGGAGCAACAGTCTCCAAATAGCATTTGTAAAATGCAAACTCCTCAGACACGTTCACGTCAACTTCTTGGAAGAACACCAACCAAACTTTATAGTCCCTTTGGTATAGAGTCTCCCATGCATGCATGGGACAAAGAGAACAATGAAACACCAGTGCATAGCTCTACAGGAATGAACACACGGTATATCCAATGTAGGCCATTCCGTTTTACTAGAGCCAAAGGATTCTCAGTATTGAGATAAAATCTTTCCTTCTATTTCGTTTTTTTACAAGTTATGGATTGATCTCTTTATTTCCAAGCAACGCATTCAAGATTGTGTACCTTATGCAACATATACTATTCACTTATTTATTCAATTTTTTAATTATGATAGTGATCCACACTAACATATAAATTATCTTGGCACATTATCTTATGATATTGAACTGCTTTACATGTACATGTAATGTATAATGTATTTATACTTTTTTATACGTATTTATATGTCAATAACTATTATTGAATAAAGAAGCAGGACCAGAAATTGGTTTAAAGAACGATCCCAGCGGCGCCAGAGAGAGAAAACATATTTAACAGAAACTTAACCTCATTCAGCAACTGTTACATGCTGCAAACTTAGATGCAACTCGTTGCACACATCATTCGAGTATTTAGCTTTTCATTTATTTGCTATAAAAAATAACATCGTCATTATCTAGTCTTTCTTATATTTGTTATCTGTCATTTGTTAACATTATGAAACATCAATTGACAATAACTCAAACAACTTCGGTTCACTGGACGGAGAAAGTCGAAGTGCGATGAATTTTCGCGGCAAATTTTTTATGTAGTGTGTCACTATCGCGAAATGATTGATTGAATCGGACTGATCCTTCGTAGAGACCAGAAACCGTTGTTAATCCCAATAAAGTTTGTGCGCACGTGCACCGGTGGTTAGCATAGCCGTAGAAAAAAAAAGTGAGGATCTTGCGAAAATGCACCACTGCACCCGAAAAGCGACCTGAACGCGACTAACGAAAATGAAAAATCGGCCGCTGCCCCGAACGATACTCTGATGCTTAATATTATGTTTCACGGATTTTCGGGATGGATACGCGCGAGCAAAATGAAGCCAGACAGGACAGTATGAATCCCCAGGCGGGGTAAGTTTCCTATTTGAACTTAATTCTATCGCTGAAGACAGAAAGGTTAAAAAAATACTTTCGTAGTGATCTGTTACGTTTTATTAATCATGGAATTTGTGTTGAGAGGTTAAAAACATTCATTTACGAATTTTCAACACATTTCT